ATATATGTAGAGAAATAAGAATATATCATATTATATAAATCTATAAAAATATATCATATTATATAAAACAATTATTTCTCTGGTTTATCAGGTTGATGATGCTAATCCTGCCTTCCCGAGATCAACAGCGTACTGGTGGTTTGGGTGCAAGTCTGCTAACAAAGGGACATTAGGTAATGATCGCTGGCCATTCGCATTTGCCAGTAATCTGGACGTGGCTGATACATACGACGATTACGGTAATCTTGACAGCGTTGGTGACATCATTCTAGACGCAGGTACAAAATCTCTATCGAATCCTGCCTACCCTCGACTAAACTTAAAGATATCCATTGTCCGCGACAATACTTATCCTAAATCGAATGTCTCTTGAAGTAAATATCTCGAAGAATAGCTCTTCATTTTTTAATTAATTCATAAAGTTAATTTCAGACTCTTCCGTATTCTATCATAGATTTTATTCTTCGGCTTTTATGGACACGTGCGTCGAGAGTAATTACTGTCACTGTACTTATATTAGTTGTCATTACACCGTCATAATAAGAATGTTCCTAGAACAACGAGATGAATAAATTTCCATGAATTTACATGAATTGCGCGTCCTTTAAATTAATACTTTGGAAAATCGCGACAGTGGATACCTGGTATTCTGTGCTTTGCTCTGTTCTAATTCACTGAAAATAATCAACGTGGAAACAAATAATCCCCTTGGCATGAAGGCAGGCAGGAAATGCGATATTAAAAACTTTGGTGTCTCTTATACCTGGCTATGATACTGGGGCTACTTTGCGTGAAAAAGACACGTGCATGCAATACTTACAAACAAACAAGAAAAAAAATCAGGTTTAATTCTTTAACACTTAATACAAAGTTTAGATAGAATAAAATTAAAATAAACTGGTAGATTCGCGAGTTAAATTATCGTTGTAACGTTGTAACATATCCTGAGATATTACGAGCATGACAATTCAAAATGACTCTTTCGTATTTTATCGAGTCACAAATCTCTAAAATCGGATATGACACAACGCAAATATTCATGTACATAACGAAACATATTTTGAACATTACTAAACGTATCATAATTCAAGCTGTCGACAGGGAAGTTACGAAATTAGGTAACTGAAACATAGGAAAACAAAGTAATGCTTGCACGATTCGTCTGTACGCATAGAAACGGTAATGCTATTATTTTGGCAACCTTTCTATTGCCTATTCACATCACTAATCAAGCATACTCAAAATTGCAAATTAAATAATCACATTATTATATTAATTTTGTATTCGATAGAACTAGATTAACATTTAGTGCATATAAAACATTAATTTATTAACATCATAATATTATCATTTGTTAACTTTAATGTTGCACACAATTTTAAACATCTAATCGCTATAATTATATTGTAACATCGCGTATACAAACTCGCGAATTGAAGATTTTTCGTTTTGACAATTCGTCAAATTCATTTCATGGCTTATACCGATTTTTTATCGAGAAAGCTAATAAGTTCACTTATTATCATTTATCGATAAATTTGCTGTACATTAAAGCCCAGAGTATTTATTAGCCAGGCGATGGATGAGAACAAAGTATTTGATTTCTGAGAACTTCAACATCGAAAAGTAAATGGTGATAGATAGCGCGAAAGGTCGCCGTATATCATCGTTGCCGCATCCAGTTTGACAAGACAAAAGTAAATATATACCTTAGAAATAAGAATCTTTTTTTACGTTCTCTTTCTTGTTTTTCGCTTACACGGACGGCTTTCATTCGTTATAGCACATTACGGTTATGGTTCGCGTCGACTATTTATGCCTCTTTTGTTTCTTTACGCGTACTCTATCTCTATTTTCGATTTCCCCTAGAGTGACTTTTATTATTAATACAATAAAAATATTGTATGTGATATATATATATATATATATATATGTATATATATATATAAAGCATGAATCTTTTCCTGTATCTTGCTTATCTCATAACTTTAATGACATACGTAGAAGATAGTGAGTAATAGCAAAGTTTACACATCTCATAAAAAAACACGCACCAACTTACTCTAAAATACATGCACATGAGAGCACACGCGTGCACCTGACATAAGCGTGAAACAGGGAGGTGCATGAATCACTGCCGTTGGCAGTTACGTTGTTTGGAACTTAATCTAGCATAAAAACATGTTTTCGACTTGTAATAATACATCCTTCTAACAAAAGATCGATTCTTACAGAAAATCCTTATTCCTTTCGATTCTGATTTTCATTCGTTCTTTTCTTCTGTTTGTTTTTTCACATTAAAAAATATTTGCAAATATAGTATTTTATATGCACGCCTCGTTGCACAAGTATTTAATCTCAGATATCCGTTGAAAATTAATATTTTCATGTGTTTTGCAATCATGCATTAGTCCTTTGAATCGCACAATCCTTTCCTCTTTCTTTAATTTATCGATGGGGTTTTATGAGAAAGTGCACTCTTGACTTTTGATATTGATAAGTTTTCTCTCTGTATTCTTTCTCAGTGATCTATTTTATCCATATTTTTATTTTATTTATTTTATTTTCTCTAAATTCTTTGAAATAGAATTTTAAGAGAGAATAACTTAAAGAGTGAAGATTGAGGCAATCTTGAAAAAGAACAATTTTGGCTTAGTTTTCAATCTTTAAGATCTTTAAGAGTGACATTCACTCTAAAAGTTTTAGAGAATTTGAATTACTTCTATTCGGTATAGATAATTGCTTAAAATTGATGGGAACCTATAAGAAGAGCTATAAAATATCTCTTTGACATATATCTTTTTATATGAAATTTATATAAAACTTTTATATAAAATTTTTATATTATGTATTTCGGTTTTATTTTACTATGTGTCCATTTATTTTTATATTATACAAGATTCCATTTTAATTGCTGTAAGTAAATATTTCAAAGAATATATATCCGAGAAAAAATATTATATATATGGACATATTGTATATAAGTATATATAAAAATATCAATTTTATATACAATTATATATAAATATATATATGAAACATTTTTTCCTGGGTAGAAGATATGGAAAATGTTTTCGACAAAAGTAGTGACTTGAGAGAGCAAATAATGATAAAATCAACTTTTGAGAAAAATAAATTTTTCAAGATCAAATATGAAGATTATCATCATTTCGTTTAAATATGATGCCTCCAATAATTCTACATATAAAGTTGAAATATCAAAAAATCTCAATGTCGAATTATCTTATACTTTATTCTGATATATATTGAAATATGTATAAAATATCTCGTAAACTATTAATTTTTTATAATCGTATCTTAATACTTTTTTTATGCATAAAAAATGAGATCAATTGTGTAAAGAAAATAATATAAAATAATAATTTTATTTTTTTAAATGGAGATAACCTTCCTTGAAAAACTGATTTTATTTTTTAAAATTAATTTTACTATTATTTATACTTTGTACATTCAGTTATAATACATTTTAAAAAATAAATACTTTATTTGTTAGAAAAATATAAAAATAGTGTAAAAAATAAATATATAATTTTCTACTTTCTAAATTTCTTGGAGTGAAATTTCACTTCAAAATACTGCCATTGAAATTGAAAAAAAGTAAAAATATTTGCATTCTTGAATAAGGAAGACAGATTTTCACTGGTTTTTTAGAGCAAAATATTTCACACTTTTGAAGTGAGAGTTTCTTCAAAAAAAGGAGTAGAACTTCTTTCCTTTGAAGTGAGTCTCCTATTCAAAAGAATAAAAATCTGCTACTCTTGTTCAAGAGTACTAATGTTTTCTTCACTCTTTTATAATTAATAGTAGCAGTATTTTAATTTTTTTGGGGTAAAATTTTACTCTAAGAAATTTAGAAAAATTTATTGCCAATAGATTTTCTAATGTGAACTTGCAATTGTTTTTAACAATTGCGAACGAGAATGGTCACGAGATAGAACACAGAAAGTTTAAATCTGTAAGATTTAATTTAATCAAGACTTAAAACATGCTCTTTACTTCTAGCATGGAAATCTTTAACTTCTATTTAAGTTATTTAATATTATAAAATATTTTATATATTGACATTCTCATGTATTTGGTGCTTTCAATGAAATGACTTGCCTTCATAATGACGTTCTAAAATCAAATTCGCATCCTACGAATTTAATTTAATTTTGCAATCATAGTTTCAATTTTATTCATTTAAAGCAAGCCTATCCAATTTAAGCTCCGGAGCCAAAACGCAAAACCATCGACGCACAAAAATTCAGTGTAAGATTTCGGAAACTGTAAAGTGTCGATCGCTTAGATATCAACTTTACAATCCTCAAAATCTTACTCACACTGAATTTTGTTTACATCGATAACTTTGCATTTTGGCTCCGGAGCTCAAGTTGAACAGGCCTGACTTTAAAGTAGCTTTACAACTTTAAAGTATACTTACAAATTAGGCAGCCATGTTGAGCTATGTTCAGATTCCCACCCGAGTACCACCCAGGTCACTCTATCCTTGTTTATCGAACATTAAACAAGAATGACATGACACCCGGAGAACACTCGGTGGGAATCTGAACACGAGCTTGAATGTGAAATTTATAATTCGACATTGTTATATAACTTCTTTCTACCGATATAAAAAGTTCAAGCGTACTAGTAAAAATTATATTCAAAATTAATTACCTGAGAATAGCACTAAATACTGAGCTGCGAACAGACAACAGATGTTTGCTTGCTAAAAAAAAACCGTGAGAAGGAAATGATCTATCACCCGCATTAACCGGGAGCAATCACCTTTTCCAGACGACAACAATGTACATCCCGAATTCGGGAAAAAGTGAGCGGTCAAAGCGGCGCGATCCACGACCGGTACACGTGCCAAATATCCCGATTATTTACACGCGGAAAAACCAAATAAAGTTCCAAACAACAACAATCAACCGGCAACGGCAGCAAGAGAGCGAGAATTAATGGCCGACATCTTCGTGCCTGTTTGATTGACCTGTTTCGCGCTCTCGAATGTGCGCACGCGCCGTTCTGCATGCATTCGAGATTACCCGCCACTACGATTCAAATTTGAATTCGACAGGAGGCACCGACGAGCTCGTCACATCATCGAATCACCATCATGAAAACTCTGGAGGGTCCGTGAATTCGCTGCATTCATTGAAAAGCATACAGCAACTTTTGCTCAGCATCATGACAACGATCATCGCGAGGTTCATCGTGGCTACGTAAAAGCAGCGATGCAATGACTTGAAACTCGAATCGATATGCGTTCGCGAAATGTGATCAAAAGGTGTCGAATTTTTGTTTATTTTTGAAAAGTGAATGTCAATCGTCGTTGGTGCGACGCGTTCAGGAACTTGCGCTTTTGGTAATTAAGTAGATAGTTAGAAAATTATGACGAGCAATATTTCCGCCGCAATTAAACCGTCGAGTTGTTGCGTTGT